ATCGTGTTCGACGTCATGACCAAACAACTTGTTTGGTATGGTCATGTCAATAGGATGACGGAAGAGAGGCTGCCAAAAAAGATGCTTGATTGGGTTCCTCCTGGGAGGAGACGTAGGGGACGCCCAGTGCGAGGTTGGCGACAGGGGGTGTTAAATGAGATAAGAGATTGTCAACTCCCTGATGACCTGTGGGAAGACCGAGCTTTGTGGCGATTAGGCGTCGCACAGCGCCAAAGAGCGCTATAAAAGCGACTCATATATATATAAGCGGGTTCAGAATCTGACCAAACCGAGATACCGAGACTTATTTAGCATTGTGTTATATGGGTGATAAACGGGACCGGGCGATTCTACCGACTAAAGCGGGTTACCGGCTTATCCGGAAACCGACTTAGCGAGGTTTTACTGTATTATTTTTAGCTAATCTACAAAAATCAAGCATGTGACCAACGCAACTGACCCATTGGTTTGCTTGTAGTCAAAGTATCACAAGCACCTTTTATGCTTCCATACTTCTCAAGCTTGGCTAATTTTTTATGGAAAAACCGATGAAAAGAATCACTGAAAGATTTTCCCCATTATTTCTTTTGTCATCGAAATCAATTCTAGAAATTTTCCTTGAAGGATGGTGCCAAAGTTTTAAAGAAAAAATTGAACCAATATTGAGATGTTAGGGTACAAGCATATGCATAACATTTAGGCGTAAATGACGTTAAGGTGATGATGTAATGGTAAGATTCTATGAGGACTAAAATAGCCTTCTCTCGTGGAGTAATTTATAACTTACCATGTATTTCAGTATAATCTGTTAACTTTGATTAGGAAATATTTTCCTTCCTTCATGTATGTTTAATTGCTTCTTTTGCTCTTTATTCCAGTCGAGTTCTGATCACAACTGATGTATGGGCCAGAGGTATTGACGTTCAACAAGTATCGCTTGTCATAAACTATGATCTCCCAAACAATCGAGAATTATACATTCACAGGTATTCTTTTTATTTATTTTCAATTTAAATTGTGATGGTTTATTTTTATATAATTCTAATTTGTCTAAGTCTATCAAGAAGGAACTGCATAAAGTTTGAATAGAGGAAAAAAGATTTGAGATTTTTCATTCCGTCATGAATCTCGGTACAAAGGATCCTCTTTATCTGCGAACCCGCTAAACTGAATCTGGAACATCCTAGTTATGTGTAACATCTTGCCTCACTTTTGAACTCTTTTGTGCACTCTTTTGTGAAAGAGTGCACTGAAAAGTCATACAACATGGTGGATTAACCCTCAAATTTTTTTTCTTTTCACCCATCTCTCATGCCCCATAATGCCTAGGTATCCGTAAAGTTTTGGCTGACCCTAACATTTGCAGATGACAGAGATTCCGTGTAATTCCAGGTTCGTTCTAGGAATTTTAGTCACCCTACTTTTGCATTGGCCAGTCTTGCCCCATTTCGGTGTGGTCCCTCTAAAATTTTGGGGTTTCCAAAAGTCGTTTCCTTTGACCTAGGAGCCCTCACAAAATGTCAAGTCTTCGTCACAGTTAACATGATTTTGAAAGTAATCATTCCAATCAAACAAATATTTTGAAATTATTTCGTCTGTTTTTTCAATTTATTCATCCTGTTTTCACCAAAAAACACTAATAATTCATCTTATTTCTCCTTTTCAGGATTGGTCGATCTGGTCGGTTCGGAAGGAAGGGTGTTGCCATTAATTTTGTGAAAAGTGATGACATTAGAATATTAAGAGATATTGAGCAGTATTATTCAACTCAAATTGATGAAATGCCAATGAATGGTGAGAAAATATTTATTTTATGCTTAACTGTAGACCAATTTGGATGTAACTTCGCCAAAGAGATCTTCTGGTGAAACAGATATTGATTTGATCAAATCAGAACAATGAAATACTTCTACTATCTCATCTCATTGCCATCAATTAAAATGAGCCGATACTCATAGCACAAAGGATACCTCTCGGTGAGAAAGGTCCATCATTAAGAAAAGTGAAGATACCTACTGATACAACTGTTGCTGCTGTGTTGAGAAAACTGATTTTATGACCAACAGCCTAAACAAAATTCATTAGAATTAACCTTGTTATGAATCAAAGCAGCAAGTTATCAAAGTCTAGCCATCAGATTTTTTATGGTATCGTAAAGAGATTAGTGCAATGTGAGAACAAGTAGGCAAACTTATCTCCATTAAGCATAGATTTCTGAAAATTTTAATTTGGACTTTATAAAATTCATCTTGTTTTTTTAATCTGAGAGGTTATCTGTTAGTAAGGGTATCAGTTGCAAAAAATATTATACAACAATACTTGTTTCTAACTCAAGGAAATATCTATCGGTAAACTTTTCCCACTGTTATTGGTCTTCACCAGAAAGTTTTTTCCACCATTAAGTACATCATTTTGTGACGTGTCAGGAAACAAATATACAGAAAATATCCTTGGAAAGGGGGGGGGGGGAGTGAGGAGAGTTGCCCGCATTGTCAGCTTTTAGAATTCATGAGGTTTAATGATTAAAGGTTGCAGAAAATGGGGAAAATAATTGAAGTTCGCTTGTTGAAGTTACCAAGGGACCATTTGAAGAAATGAAGTGGTATTAGTTTATGAGTCGAAATCACCAAAAACATTGAATCATGTAGACTGTGCATCCTGTGTTACGGGAGGCATGACAACGTTTAAAAATTTGCATGGTGCACTGACCAATGAGTGCTAGCACCGACCTGGCATCAATGAGTTCATGTGTTCTATTTGCGCATATCTGCACATAGGCAGTAGAGGCCCCAGTGAATTGTTGTCGGATTTTGAGGCTTTTTTCTCGGTTGGTAATTAGTTTGCCAAAGTGAAACTTCGCAATTCGGTTGTAAAAGCATATGATCTACAACTTTTGTCCTTTGGAATTTTGTCTGATAATGGATTCAGAACAAGTTATTCGCGAAAAATTGATCGCGCACATGAATTCTCCATCGCTTCTCTGCAGTCTCTTCGAGTGCTTCGGACAGACATTCTCTCCCCCTCCCTGCCTGTCCATCATGGAGTTCCGAGAAACTTGTCACATTTCGCCTGGACAAAACCGAGCCGGATGCATTGTCTACGAGATTCAATGTCTTTGAAAACTACCCATTCCCTTCACAGTGTTTCAAAATTTCTGATCCTAATTTATTTTTTCAAAGAGACACAAGCCAATTTTATAGCTTGAAATCTACATTGAATATTCGGGTAACAGAAGAAGAATCAAGGAAGTTTTCAAGAAATTACGTGGACTAGTTTTGCAAAAAAAAGTACACATAGTACTTACCCTAGGAAGTCTGCAACTCACCAAACGAAGTTATCTAGTTTCGCACTTAGGCCATCAATATGCCCTTCATCTCTCTATAATGCTAGCTTTCCTTGCCTTCAGGTAGTGGCCGATTTTTGCCCTGCTCTTTGCTCCATTTCATTGCTCTGCAGTAGTTCAGTTACTACCAAGTAGCAGGAGGGCATTTGAAAGAAATTCTACCTCCAGCACAAAAGTGGAACAAACATTAGGAAACTTTACCTCTTGGTCCCTTGCTACCTAGCCAATCTCTCAGTCTGCACTGAATAGTAATATAATTATTCATTTTCGTTTTTCCTTGTTTTTCTTGTTTCAATCTCTTTCTTCTTTTCTTGCAGTTGCTGATTTGATTTAAGCCCCCAGGGAAAGAAAGCTGGTATTCAGAACTTGCCTGCAGCAATTCACTGTGGATGAAACCTTTTGTGTATCAATGCGTGAAATGCACTGTTTTTTCTTCCTCATTTTCATGGTATTTTTATGTCAGTTAACATTATTTCATGCCCATCAATTCTGTTTTTTAATAATGATCGGCCAGATTTACTGGGATTTTTATCATCCAACTGTTAAAAATTTTGATGTTTCTCAATTTTATCTATTTTGATTAACGTTCAGGTTTTCCACCAAAACCTGTTTTTCACCAGAACTCTTATCACAGTAAAAAATGCTATGAAATATAAAAATTTTCTATAATACCACTCCCTTGTCGAGGGCATGAAATGTCTTTATCCATATTAAGTAATGTCTTGATAAAATCTATTAACATTTTTCAATATCCTATCCATTGACTATAACTTAAATTATCTCTGACTAGTCACATTTCATTATAATCAGGGATGGCGAAAGTCACGTCCGGTCCAAGTCTGTCATTGACAAACATGGAAGCAGCCCTTAAAAGATGGTGGCAGCCCATGCTCAGACGCAAACAAGTTCCCTAATCTATAAATCAAATCAGCTCATTGAGAGCTAAAAGAAGGGGAAGCCGGCAGCATGAGATTTATTCTCCATTCACTTAATGGAACTTTTCCAGCCTGCCCTCTGTAATTTGACTTGTGCACCCATTAAGTATGCAGGCAGTATTAATCAACAGTACCTTTTTTTTTAAAAAAAAGAAAAGGAAAAAAAAACGGTGAAGAAAGTACTGAAGTACTGGAAGATACAATAGGGGCAATCATTTGCAATTAGTGTGTAGCCTACAGAAAGATGTGAACAGTTACTGACATGGTAATAGCATTGTGGCGGTTGCATCAGTGATTCCTCAGACTTTGAATCTCTGTTAATGGAGAAAAAGAGACAAGGGAATAGCGAGCAATGAGTTTAACTTCTATGTGCTTCACCATTCCTATTCAAACATGCAGGTGTGCTAGCAAAGGAATTTTACATATTTCTTGACAGCGTGCCTGTGAACGCAGGAGTCGCATTAGAAACACTCATTTCCTAAATAACATGTTGGACCCAGACCCAATACAAAATTTCATATTTTTTTTAGCATTTATAAGACGTTTTAACGCCTTTTTATTTTAACACTTTCATTGAATTTTTATTTATTTCTTCTCATTTTTTTGGAGAGTGGACTGTTGGTAAATCTTCAGATTCTGAAAATAATTTTTTGAAAAAAAAAGTTCAATGTAAGTTTAATAAGTTTTTGGTCAAGTCAAGATAAGGTAATATATTCTGGCCGGACTCCTTACCCCTTCAAATTTAAGAGGTTTTTGGGCTTTCGTGCTGTTAATTTGTGCTTTTTTTGTTATTAGTCAATGATGAAGTAATAAATTGAAAACATATTATTTCTTCAGTTTCCATACATTTTTTTACACAAATATTATTAAGTGAATTGGGGGAAATCATCTTTTCATTTCATGAATACAACCTTACTCATTGTCTCAAGTTTATAATGGTCTCAGTTCTCCTTAGTTGTCAAAATTGCCAACCAAGCTGTAAATATTCACCTTTTTTTTAAATTTTTGTGTTAAAATAAAGTGCTCAGTCCATCTCAACCGTTGTTTAGATTCTTTGAGCAAGATATCCTTTAAAAATTCTATGAGATGGCTCTCCAGTGATTGATGCTGCCCTTATAATTCTCCTAAGAGAGGAGCAGGAAGTGTTGAGATTCAAAATGAGTTGCGATTTGGGCCTCAAAGTTTCCTCATTCTTATAAAATTTCCTGACTCCCCAAAAAGGTCAAAAGTACGAGTTGAGCCAAAAAAATTAAAAACTATAGCGTCTTACTGTTAACCCTCTATTTTTGCTGCAGAAAGAGAAAATAACCTAAAAAAGGGGGAAAATGACTAAAATTATTAAAAACTATTAAAACTCACTTGCACATAAAATAAATAAAATCAGACGAGACCATAGTGTCGAAGGCTTTCCTTCATCTTCAGTGAACACCGACATTCGTTTCTTTGCGAGAGTGGTGGTGCAAATACATGACAGCAAGACCATTTAATTGCTCCTTAACCAGAGCCATCTTAGGCACAGCGGTAAACAGGGAACAAGTCTCAACTGATCTTGTACGCTGTTTTGTTGCCTATCTCTCTCGCACGTATTGATCATAGATTATTTGAGTCACCGAGCATTTTTAGACAATTTTCGGGCGATTTTCAATCAGATGCTGTGGGCGCCCAAATTATCCGAGCTTCAAAACGTAAACATTTTGTGGATAGAGAGATTCCTTTCGTTTGATGTGCCTCATAACCACTTTTGACCCTTAACTGCTGAAGTCACCCTACTCCCCCTAAAAACTGTTGGGGCTTCAAAGAGTCGTGAGTCATGTGTTTCAAATAAGAAGTTTCTCTGACATGGGTATATTATACGCGAAAAAGCAGTACGTCTTAAAATGTTTTAAGCCAAGTATATCAACCTTTCTCTGGAACCCCACTCAAATTTCGTAATTTCGTCAAGAATCATGGGAGCACATTGTGGTCCCCCAAGATGATGAGTTTTTGGGGGTAGTGTCCATTACCGCCCCCAAAGCTCCCAAGGGACCATTTTGGGGGAATGAAGATGTTTTCATTGGATTACTTTGGGTTGATTCAGCCTAAAAAAGTTGTGACCTATACCTCGATCATGTCAAGCCGTTCTTGAGATGCGGACAGTGGACGGGCGGTCTGGACAACCCTGTATTTATAAAATGATTAGATCGCAGTGCAGGAGGCATCATACTTCGAGGTACCCTTAGATACAGAAAGATACAAGTCTGTGATTGCTTGTAATGGGTCACTAAACCATGAACGAATTTTGACTTGCGAATATAGTTTTCTGAAGGAAAATGACGCGTAGAACACGATACGCTCATTAAAAACGGGAACAAGTAACTCAATAACCGAGAAATGCGTAGTTCAAATCGCTCAACTTATACGCAAATTTAAAACGCCCCGGTTTCGCGCCGCGCCGAATGATGTCATCCGGCACCAATCAGAAGCGGGCAAGGGTTTCCACGACTCCCGTCAAATGTCTTTCTACTCTTCGTATGTGAAAACAATACTAAAGTCGAAATTACATCTTTTGAATTCAAGACTTGAATCTCATTCATATGTTAGCTGTAATAAACGAGCAACAATTCCACATTGAAACACGTTTTATTTAAACAAATATCAGAGGAAAGTGAGAGAAGATTGCGATATGACTACCGCAGTGCGTCAGCACCGTCAGCTTCCCGCCATTCGGGTGCGTTTGAAATGTCTTGCAGTTTTTAGATTTTTCAAAAGCGGGTTTCTCCGCGATTTCGGCTACACAAAAATGCGGAAAAATCACCACGTTATCTACTCACATTGTATTTTTAGAATATTCAATAAAATAAACAAGATTTAGTGACCCATTAATGTATGGTCAATTGAATCGGCTCGTGCGAAAACCGCTAATGTCCATTTTCTCTTATTTTGAGTAAACTGCAAAAAACTGTAGAAGCCTTTTAAATGCGGGATTGAAAAATTTTCAGAAGTTGATTATTACAAGAGTGGGTTGTAGAAAAGGATCCCTAACAGTTTCCAGCTCCTCTTCTGTCTGGGATGGAGTAATTAAAAAGAAAGGGCTCTGGACATTAGCGGTTTTCGCATGATACGTAAAAATCACCGAGTTTTGGAGCCGTTTGATATTTTCAAAATTCATTCTAAAGATGGTAAAGCGGTAGATTATCATTCACATAAAGTTAAAAAAATAAAATTCCGGACAATTGCGGTACTTAAAATAAGTTTCATCACAAAACTCCCAGCAATAACCCGGACATTAGCGGTTTTCGCATGATTTGCGCGTGGACGGTTCTAAAACATCGAAAACGCATGTTTTTCAGTATGCCTTTCGGGCCAAATATGGTTACCCCTACGTATTTAAAGGCGCTGAATCCGAATATGACCTCCGTTTTTTCCCATTACCCTCCAATTTAACAGTCGGGATAACAGTCGGAAAGACACCGAAAATGCCCAAAAATGGTCATTTTTCCGGGTAAAATCGGCTTTTCCGGAAAATTGGAGGGTGATGGAAAAAAACGGAGGTCATATTCGGATTCAGCGCCTTAAAATGCACAAAGATTACCTAATGTCGTCCAGGAGACATTTTTTTATTTTGGTTTGTTGTACAGTATAATGAGGCATATAACGAAAGATGGACATTAGCGGTTTTCGCATGATTCGGACCACGGCCCCCCCTGAAAAAGGCTTCAAACCTAAGGAACAAACATTTTCACTACATTAATGAGTGTGTCTGACCTCCGAGAGTATTTTAACCCAAAAATCTCAAAATTGAAAAATTTGGACATTAGCGGTTTTCGCACGAGCCGATTCAATTGGTAATGAACATTCTCTCACAAGGATTTTCTCAATTTCCGTTTTAAAGCTCCCAGGACCATTTACCAGTACGACTGTTCATCTGGAACATGATGATAGAAGAATGTAAAATATTGAAATATATACGTGGTTTAGATGTCCAGGAAGAGAAAATCCACGTTGGAAATTCCGACCAACACCCCCCCCCCCTCCATTAAAAAAGGCAGCTAAAATTGCCGCCGCTGGGATGAACAAATCATTATTGCGAGACAACGCCAAGTGAGGAATTGCCTCTTGTGTTTTTTTGGTCGCAAAATCCAAATTGTAAGTCAGCAACCGACATTTCGTGCAAAGAACGTTCCAAACCCAAGGTGATAGCTGAAAATCAGGATCAGACAACACACGCTCTCTGATCTGGATTTCTAAGGGTGGCGGGTCAGGTGTCGCGCGAACCAGGAATGAGATATTCCGTGTACAGGTCCCCATTTTCAAATAGTGACTACTTCATGCAAAAGAAGCCAATCAGCAATTAAAATTTTGTGCAGATAATCTCGTTCGTTTGAATGGGGCCATTCTCTAGAATATTCTCTCAGAGACATCAACATCCTTTTCTTCTTATTGTCCGCAGTTAGGTACTTCGTTTTACTCAGGATACAATCAACGTGAAGTCCGCTTTAAAAAGGGAACTGAGAGCTACAAACTCAGTATACAACACAAAGGAAAGTCTTGTTTGGGGAGAGGGGGAGGGGAGGGGTTGATGGTGTGTTTTTAGTTCTGTTGAGATATTGATGAGAAATAGAAAATAATGCAAAAATATTTTACCTATGTAGAGAAGCTTGCTTAGGAAGGTTTCCATGCAATTCGCATGATCTTCTCTATCATTATTCTGCCTTCCTCGGGCGCCATGCGCCAAATGCGCCTAAAAATTGGGGGGGGGGGGATGGCCCACCGTAGCACCTAAAAAATTTGACAGATTGAACTCTCAGTTGGGAAGCAGCGCAGCGGTAGCGATGAAGCGCTCTCTATACGCACCCATCACAGCGCAGCCTGAGAGCTTTTCATTCGCTATGGCCCGTATGCAAAAAATTAATTTGGCTCCTAAAAATTGGGCTATACGGCCAAAGTGGCTCCAAAAATTTTCGGGGGAAGGCAGAAGACTGTTCTCAATATTAGTTAATCTTAGGCCCTGAATTGCATAAACACGTTGAAAACATGGTCGTACGAAGGAGAGGAGGGGGGGAGGGCTCCCCCAGAATTGAAAAAGGCATCAGCTCCCCCCCCCCCTTCCCCAGAAACTCTGGGTGATGGGAAAAACCCCTTCGTCGAGGATGATTACCTCTTTTAATTTGGAGTCTTGAATGAAAACACGGTGTTCATTCAATTAGTATCTTCTAAACTTTACATTCAACGAAGCCTTAAAATGCGTCCAAATAAAGTGAAAATTTCAACAAATTTCCGAATCTTTTGAATGCAACAATTCGAAAGTATTTTGTGCTGAAAGTGAAAAAAAATCGCAATTTTTCTGTAGAAATTGATGGAAAACCTGCGTCACCGAAGCCTCAAAATAGATTTAAAATTTCAAAGATTATACGGAAGGGCCCCCCAGACCGCCCTCTGACCTTAGGGGTACCTATTCCATACCCTCTAGACTCCCCGGTGGTAGGGAGGCCAGACCGCCTAGCAAAATAACCTTCGTAGGCCTGGTTGGAAAGCTAAGTAAAGCAATGTGAAGTACCTATATTACCTACCAATACCCCCTCTAAGTCATTAAAAATCCTCGTCATCATAAGACACTTAAAGCAAAGTTAAGAATTCATAGATTGAAAGAACGTTTCGGGATATGAGTCACAGCAAAGTTGTGAAAGTCTCTATAATAAATTTTCGAAACACTGGGATACGCTGCTACACGTCCCATGGATTCACCCCCTACCAACCGTTTTCGGGTGGGTATATTTTTTTTTTTTTTTGGCTTCAAGATCATTGTTATGTTGGCGTTTTTTCAGTCTTTGCGGAAAATTTTGGCTAAAGTTTCCGCTAAGATTGAAAAGAGCTTGATGCAAAAACGGCGTTTTTCGCCCCCCCCCCCCCCCCCCCCCCCCCCCCCCCCCCCCNGGGGGGGGGGGGGGGGGGGGGGGGGGGGGGGGGGGGGGGGGGGGGGGGGGGGGGGGGGGGGGGGGGGGGGGGGGGGAGCTAGGGGGGTGGAAGTCAAAACCTGTAAACCTCGATATCTCTCGAACGAAGAAAGATGTCGAGGTCCAATTTGGACGAAAAATCGTATAAATTTGCTCCTTTAAGATTCTAAGGGTTGATCTCCCGATATCACATATTAAAGTTAGCATACGTGCTTTTTTCCAGTTTTTCGGTCTAGAAAATTTCTTTTTTTTTTGCTCGGTTTGAACATTCAATCTGATCTAATAACAGTCCAATCCGACTTTTTTGATCGCGAAAATCGGTCGGCGCGCGTTGAGCGGGAACTCCAATCGCTCATAACTCCGGAACCGTTTGGTTCCCCAGCTTAATGGGCCACTCGGTGGATGCGGAAAAATACGAACAATTTGCAAAACTGGTTTTGGTTCAAAAAAAAATTGAGATCTTTGTAAATTTCTTGTTTAAAAAAATTTTTTAGACCGAAAAACAGGAAAAAAGCACATATGTTAACTTAAATATGTGATATCGGGGGATCAACCTTTAGAATCTTAAAGTAGGCAATTTTATACGATTTTTCGTCCAAACTGGACCTCGATATCTTTCTTCGTTCGAGAGATATCGAAGTTCACAGGTTTTGACTTCCACCCCCTAGCTCCCCCCCCCCCAATTTTTGGGGGTCTGAAAATTTGGGAACAGAAGCGCTCAAGTATGAGTAATCAATAGACTAAGTCTGAAGAAATTCCAGAGTGGGGGGGGGCGGAAAACGCCGTTTTTGCATCAAGCTCTTCGTAGCGCGGTGTATTTAATTTTGCATTTAAACTTAGTTTTTAGTAAAAAGTTTTTCGAGAATCCCCCCTAAAAAGCCCATAAAATACAACTCTCTATTGGTAACAATATTAATTGCAGAGCTAAAATGTTTTTCAACATATATTATACGGTTGTTTTTGATTCGCCTTCAGCTGCATCCGCAGCAATTGTTGTTGCGAATATGATGTACAATTTGAGCATGATTTAGCATTAGCATAGTTTGAGCAATGATTTTAGCATATTACATACTAGACTCTCTGAAGGCGTTCTTTGGGCACATGCAACTCGCTGTGGCTGCGTCTGCAGTAATTGTTGTTACGAGTATCANAACATGATCCTTTGAGTAGTTTTTTTGCTACGGGGTGATAAAAGTTAAAAAGCAGCGAAAATCGGCAATTCCTAATATTTTCTGTAATGTATACCGTCGACCGACGGTTATCGGGTTATCGCCCCGCGTGTGTGTGGTTGCTGCAGAGTCGTTTGAAGGCGTTTTCCGGTCTTACTCTGGGAGGTTTTATTTGGTTGTTCTCCTTATATTTATATTTTTAGCTTAGCGGGGAGATCTACCGATCTCCGTGATGTTGTGCGTACTGATTTTAGCTCGTTACATACTTGACTCTTTGAAGGCGTTTTATGTGCATATTATCTCAATTTCAGCATGAGCCCAAGGGAGCATGGATTCATAAGTAAAACAAGGCTCACGCTAAATTGAGAAACGTCCTTACGTAAGAGGAGTGACAATGTAAGATAGTAGGGATGGCTAGAGTTGGTAGGTACAACGAAAAAGGGAACCGATCGGGAGGTAGCGAGCGCTCACCTTGAAATGCCAACGATTATTCCGAAATGACAACCGAAATTCAATTCCAAACTTGACCTGGTGACCACCTCCTTTCCTCACGGGGTCACGAGCTTTTGCATGCGAGAAAAGATTTCTTTTCGAAGTTCATCGTCAACTACTCACGTTTCCGTGACAAATCCACTGTTCTAACACCTGCTGTCTTTTTCTCTCAAAAAGGCCAGACAGCTTTTTGTCCTTTTTTATTTTATCCATCCTTTGCTTGCTCAGTTATTTATTTATTGCTCCCCTCCTCCTGATCAGAGTTTAGGAGCAATGTGAACAGATATAGGTTACTATTATAAGGCTCAGCTCAGAACACGAGACTGCGTGCTAACTGCGCCTCAGTCGCGTGCATTCCATTACTTGGAACCTTCCAAGTCATCATGGATTGGAGCGGGAAACCAAGGGTAAACTGAAAGGACATGCAACATATTTTATGGTCTTGTTAAGTTGTACGAATCGCATCAAATCCACGGTTCAGATTTTCTAGATGTTTGTAAGGTTGCAGGGTGGAGCAGTCAGTTTCGTGCCTCCGTGATCCCCTTTTCCTTCTTTGCTGCTCCATCCCCGCCTTCGGTTCCGGTTTAATTCTGTGGCAAAACTTGAGCAATTAGCACGGTGTTGAGGACTAATGAGCTTTTTTCCAACGAATTTTCCGTTAGTGCGGCTTTCTGTTTCAATCGAACAGACCGTCCTGCGTCTTAGACAAGTGTGCAACGACTGGAACTATATCGCGCTACATATCGTATCCTCCATTCAAAGACCACCCTGTTGCTAGTGACGGTTATATTTTGAGTAAAAAAAAATAGAATTAAAAATAAAAGAAACGGTTGGCAGGCACGAACTGGGAGCCCTTGAATGTGATGATTACACACGAGGAATTTATGCAATATCTACTTTCAACAATTTATGGACAAAAAATAACATCGACATTTTTTTATATCTAAAAAAAAATTGTTTAATCAACGTGATGTGATACTTCCGTTACGCAAAGTGTATAGGTAACAGGAATGAGCACATTACAAAACCACTGTTAGCAAAGAAAGTCATTGATTAGGTATGTAAAAATTTAAGTATTGATCATAAAACATGCCCTTATATGGAAAGATAGGAGTACATTAAATATACTTGTCTACATATCATCCCCCCCCCCCAAAAAAAAACTTTCAGGGGGCCTCCTTGGAGGGGTGGGGTAACGGACCACAACTTTTTTTTTCCAAATGGACCTCCCCTTGTGATACCTTGTTTGAAAGAGCATACAAAAAGAATATTTTTTTCACCAAACTGAAGTCTTTCTCTCAAACCGTTTCAAAATGGCGGACGGTTACCTTTAAAAATGACCGAAAATTGGCGCCTCGATTTTTTGCCAATACCTTTCCCTGAAGCTTGCTACATTAGGGGTATTTTGGTACGGAAAAAACGAATTTCATGTCACATAAATTAAAAAACCGAGTTTTTTTAAATTGCGACTGATTGAAGTTCAAAATGGCCAAAAATTGGAGACCTCGGTTTTTAGTCAATCGATTTTCTAAAACTCGGAATCTGAGCGTATTTTCGGATGAGGAAAATGAACTTGATGTTAAATATGTATACTCGCCCCCCCCTCCCCCCACTTTAAGACCATTTTGAAATTTGACCGGCCGCCGTTTAGGGAAACTCGGATTTTAGTTTTTGCCTGAAACTTGAAATCTGCGGGTGTTTCTTTACGAGAAAAAAGAATTTGATGTACTGCCGGTTACGTGAAAGAACTCAAAAATAATATCTAAAAACCAGGTACAAATATCGTCAAAGTTTCTCATAAAAGCACACAAAAAAATGTCCGTGATCCGAAGAAAATTAGAAAAGAGGAAAATTGGCTAAAGAAAAAGGAGAAAAAGAGGTCTATAAATAGACCTTTCCTCAGCAGCGGCGAGGCTTTGCAACGCAAAATTATTTTACTTCGCAGATACCTGGAAAAATATTGTTAGTTGTAACTTGAATACCTATTGTGAATATTTTAAACCTTGGACGGAAAAACCTCCAATATTAAACACGTGCATCACGCGTGTGATTCATGTTTTACATTTTCATCGGATTCCTCACGAAAAGTTCGTTTACCTCTGAATGAGTCGCAGCTTAATTTTAGAGCGCGTTCGAGTGCTCAAAATGGGTTTTCCGTCTGAAAAACTAATTGAACATACAGTGCCTTCGCATACCAATCTGTGGGTTGGAAACGAGTTGTATCGAATAAAAGCCTAGGAGCATATTTTAATGAAAAGATAAATTGTTCAAAGGTAAATATTGTCTTTTGAAAAATACACAATTTATAAGGTTTTAAAGAGTTTTATTCCTTAAGTGATAGTAAGGCCAGCAACGCCCTAAAACAAAAAATAAAAGACGCGTCTGAAAGGAGGTATTTAGGTTTTCGGAAGGCTAAAATGCTTCTTTTTTCGGGAAACAAGCGCTTCGCGCGCGGTTCGAGGTGACAGCACGGGCCGAGTTGTTTTTTTTCTGTTTATGAACATCCGCACATTGCGGGAGGGAACCAGAGATGTACATTGCATGCTATAATTCGCGTAAAATATCATGATTTTTTTTTTTTGGAACTTTAGTGAGTGCGTCCAGAGGGCCAAGAAACACCTAAAGACAGATACGGGGTGTTAAAAAAGCCCCCCTGTTGAGTGATGAATAGTGTGACGTAGGTATTTTCAATATGGCGCCTGCGCAAAACGTGTGTCTATTGTATGCTGTCCTCCTCTATGTTCTATTCTGTGTAATCATGTGAAAGCCTACAAGAGTTTAATTAAAGTGTCCTCGCTATGAATCTCAAATTGTTTTTTATTGTAGTTCAAACTAGTTTCCCTTCAC